CCCATTATCCGAAGTGAGGTGATAAGTCTTTTCGTTTTTGTTGGTGTGTTTTTTTTATTATGTTGTTTACTTTTTGAAGCATAAATACACATATAATCTATAATCCCATATTTCTTTTGAATTGTTTAACATATTGACTGCCATGTGAGTTGTATTTAACTCAGGCTAGTTTTGAGCCCAGGACTGCATGAATTAAAACCCTGAAGTTGGTTTGTGATAATCTTACTTGATGTTCGTATTGGTAAATTAATATTGACAATTTAACTTCTAAAAAAGTAGATTCCATTGCATATAACTCCCACACAGAAAACAATAATAAATAACAAATTAGAAAGTTTGTTTTAATAAAACACCATGGCCCCAGGGAATAATTTTTTTCTAGTGTGGCAGTCAATGGGTTAAAGTAAAAGTGAGGTTTTTTTCCTTTGTTGGTAATTTCTGTCTTGTTTAGATGTGCTTTAGGCAATAATATATTCTTCATCATACTGCAAACTCTGCCCCAGTTACTATAAATATTCCTTTTATGTTGAAATTACTTTTAAATTTCAACTTTCCTAAAAAACATATGCAGTTCTGATATTTGTAAATGTAAGGGATAAAAGAAAAATATAGGCTGTCTAGAATAAAACTGCTAATGTGAATTTTACATGAAAGGTTTGTAATTCAATGGAAGTGCTTTTAGGATTGTATAGGTTAAGGATAGTACTTGTGTAGGAGAATAATACAATAGAATGAGTATAGAAATCCTGGACTAGAGGAAATGAAGACCAAGTTGAGTAGAGGAAATGAAGACTAGAGGAAATGAAGACCAAGTTGATTCTACTCAAGATATTGTCAAATGGTGGCTAATTAGGGCATCACAATTTATAGGATTAAATAAATAAACTATATTGAGAAACCAACATAAATATTTTCCTAATGTTAATGATCAGGCCCAGATATTTAAACAGCTTGCTCCCTATTTTATTGAGGACCCTGTTCAAATACCATCTCTTAAAGAGGCTTTCTAGACTATTCTACTTAAAATAGCAGCAAATAACTTTAGAATGGAATGGAATTCAAGAAAATAGAGAAAAAAATAAAAATTTAGAAAAACAAACAATATATATTTGAAATACTCTACCATCATCATAACTGAATAAGTACATATCCTGCTTTAATCATAATCTTTAAAAAGTTCAGATATTGTAATATGGGCTACAGAGTTAGACACATTAATCACCACTTCAGATCACTATCTATCTATGCCAGAAAAATTAGTAGAGCAACCTTTCATGGAGGAGAGGCAGTAGAAAAAAATTTGAAATCATCAATGTTGTTATAAAGCTCTCCTTGGTTAAATCATCGATGATTAGTTCTTCCAATTTGAATCAAATTAATCCATTTGATTTGTATTTATTCTGAATTTAATGCATATTTTAAAGAGATACCCCAAAGTGATTGATTAAATAATTTAAAATCACCTTTGTAATATATAGCGATATGACAAAGGAAATTAGGTGATAATTTGTGACCCTTTGTATATGTTGGCAAATTATAGCATAGCACCGTTTTGGCAAATATGAAGAATAACTAGATAATATTTTGCAGTGGGAGAAACTGAAGTGCACAGAGATTAATGGTTTACTGAAGACCACTTATATTTCCATGAAGTTGGAATAAAAGAATAAGTTTTGTCTTAGTTCTATAAACAAATTATATAGTTCTTGCAATAAGTATGTATAATTTATGTCAATGACATTACTGTTGTTGCTGATTTCTGCATTCCTAGGACAGATACAATCATGCCCATGTAAATAATTATAACAGAGAAGAGAAACATTTTGATAAAATATTTTATTATTATTATTAAGAATAATAATATAATCACGGTTATAAAAATAACAACTTTATTAACTACAGAGACTTATAATACAAGTCATAACCACAGTGTTCCCTTTTTTGGGTAAGCATCCAGCTATACCACTCAATAGGCAGCTTATCAATTTCCTATTTACACACTAAGCAGTCATAACGTCCACAGTATTTCATTTTCAGTTTCCTAAAGATAGAAACTTTCTGTGCAAATGGAAATGAACCTACTTAAAAGTTACACTGTCAAGATTTATATGACCCAGAAAATCTTAACTTTTTTTGTATTAGTAAATTCTTAGTTTTAAATTCAGTTGAATGTTGAAAGATAACTTCTTTTTGGATTTTATCTTGAAAGGTAATTTATTTAAAAAATTGTTTATTTAAAAAAGACAAAGACTATGTCTTTTTTACTCTGATTTTATTTATCGAATGAATTTGTAAATATTGGATATAATTAATTGAAAACAGTTATTTTTGAATCTCAATAAATCAATTTGAGAGTTCTTAGTATGAGACCTTATTAAAATTCTTTACCTCATGATCTCTATATTGCAGAACCAGTATTTCTCTTTTTAAAAAATGTTTAGAAACAACAAGAAAATGCCTGACAGCAATTTCCTACTTCTTGACAGTGTTCTTTTCAAGAGAATGTTGTGGCTATAACATTCACTTTGTACAGTACCATTGGTACCAACAAGAAATATTCACAGGAATAAGTGAAATACAATTTTGCTATCACATGCCATTATTGTTATTTTTCTTGCCTTCCAGTGTCTCACATTTCCCATGGTTTGAAACACTGAGATAGCAAGCAAGAGCTTGTTAATACTAGAGATTGACTCGATATAAACCCATTTACTGAGGACCTGCCCACAGCCAATAGGTAAAATCATTACACATTTTACAATAAAATTAAAGAAGTATACAAAAGGATTATTATCCCTTCTGCACGGCAGAGGCATTATGACAAATATTTTAATTTTACATTTCAATTCCTGGTAGACATCAGAAAATGTCTATAATTATAACAGCATATAACCATTATTCAAACAGCCAAAACAAAAATAGCATTGAGAACTTCTGATTTAAAAGGTCCTTTTGTCCATGACACAAAATAAAATGGATTATTGGATAAATTAGACTTTTAAATTTTTTTGTAGTTTATTCAGAAAAGAACACCCAGTAAATCATCTTTCACCAGAAAATAATGACACGATTGCGCCCTGTCCTACTACCTAAAATAACATGGATCTTATTCATGTAGCTTTCATTGTCAATTCCACCATTTTCTTCTATCACAAAAAAAAACTTCCCAAAGAAGAATTACTTTGTGCACCATGTTTGATTTATTGGTGGTGGTGTTAACTCCTTAATAAAAACAAAAACACTGTGTTCAAAATGTCTACAAAGTTAGCTGCATCTGGTATTTAGGTAATCTTATCTCTCCTTCCATGAAAATTTAAAGGAAAAGACATGGAAGTATTTTTAAAATGTATTTAAAAGTATTACAATTTTTATGAAAGTTTTACAAATATCATTAATATGTGATAATAAAATTTGGCTGGTTCCGCAAGAAGAAACTCTGAAAAATATTTAATATTTTGGCAATATGCCTTGGGAATTGTTATGTGTTTTCATGAAAATGGCATCTTATATAAGGGAAAGAAAACACAATCTGATTAAGATGATATGGACTGGCAACTAGTTGGATCTCTTTTGTTTTCTACTGTAAGTTTCTTGATACCAGCCAGTATCTTATTACAAAAAAAAAAGGCACAATTTGTAAAAACATTTCTGGATTTGGTGCCCTACACTCCTTGGACTAAGCTCTCCAAGTAGACCTAAGACCACTTTACTCCAGATTGAACAATATCCTAGAGAGCTTTTAGGGCATTGTTTTGAGACTTGGCCTTAATAAAGACCATTCAAGAGAACCAAGTCAGAGAAATGGGAATACTGGATTCAAAGCATTCAAATAATTATTTTTAAAGATGTTTTGTACAGTAAGATTTTGTGAAAATTCAAAGCTTTTCCTATTACTCTTTGTTAACCCATTTCTCAGCAAATATATGCTCTTTAGCTAAGTATGACAAATACAACAATAAATACAATGATTTAGCTGTTATTATACAGAATACAAAATTTAAGTGAATATTGATTACCAATGGCATTAGGAAGATCTTATAAAATGAAGTAAGAAAAAAATGAATATATCTTGATAAAATATCTGATTCAGCAGATGCAACTCTACTTTTAAAAAAATAATTGAATAAAGAGATTAGATAAGCTGATTCTTTTCCTTTTCTTTTACAACTTTTCTTTTATTTGAATAAATGTTTATTAGGCTAAAAGGCTTCCAGGTTGAGAAAAGTATTTTCATTTTTTCTCCGATATATACTTTAATGCATGATTTGATGAAGGGCTATTTACAAAACTCTGAAGACATGGAAATTTTCCTCTTAAATATTTTTAAAAATTTAAAGAGAGAGTGGGCTAGAAACCAATTACAGCAGTAAGTCTTAAAATTAGCCTCTGTAACTACATTTTTATTGACTAAAACACTTTTAAACTTTTTCAATTAGACACTTATCTGAAAATTTAAGAAATGCTTTAAGAAAATAGATCTGCAAATACCTTGCATAAATACGTGGCACTAAATTTGGAAGAAAGAAATAACACAAATAGACCCATTATTCTCTTTCCTTTAAGACGTAGAAACTACATGAAATAAGTAGGACAATAAATACATGTGAACACCTAAATTAGGTGTTATTTAACTCTGTAGGTCATGACAACACCTGAAATGCCAAACAATGAAGGTCATCTGCAGATTATGTACAAAAGATGAGCTAGTCATTTCAATGTTGTATCTTTCTGACATATTTCTATTTAGAAATTTAGAAATTTCTATTTTTAGAATTTTCTATTAGAAATTTCTATTTTTTTGAGGAAAATCTATAGGTACACACTCCCAAAATATTTAGTGGTTACATTAGGTACACCACAATTTAAACTGTAGCACATGCGCATGTATACCCAGGCATGAGTACATGATTAAGTGTTTTTGTAAAAGTGTGTTTGTGTACCAGTATTGCAGGATACACAGTGAGGAGAAATGAATGAACCATAACATATATGGCATATAAAATGTAATATAATTTAATACAGAGTTACAATTTAAGGACCTAAGGTGTAATTGTTTTGGTGAGGTTAAAGTTACATTTAACTTATGGTTTATTCATCATTAAGAAACTAACCTTGGAAAGCAGCGCGTGGAGAGATTAATTGATCTTTTCTATTAAATCTTTTATCATCCAGAAATTATACCTTTGCATTTTTTAATCCATTCAAGTATCTTCAGGAAATATGTTACTACACTTGCATGTACCTTAACTCATTTCAACATTTACAAAATAACACTGACAAACAAAACAACAGAAAACACCCACAAATATTAATGAGTATTTTAACAAACATGACTCTCAAGTAGTTGTCTTAGGATTGTTTTAAGTGACATTTTAATTCCACATTCTCTGAAATCTTCATGTAAAAGAGAGCTGTATTGATGGATGCTTCAGACACACTTACTTCAGCTATGACTGTTGTACCTTATATGTTAAAATAATTTTGTGTATCCATTTTGCATAATATGCTACCCGGACAAAAATACCGGGACGATTTGGAATGGCACATCCACGACCAGGAACAATGACACCAAGAACCAATCTCATTTTATGCTGTTCACAAACAAGTGGGCCACCATAATCCCCCTAGGAAGAAGACATACAACAACAACAAAGTATTATTAGACATAAAAAATAATAACAACAATATTATCCTATAAAGATTTGCATCTCAGAGATACATATACACACAAAAAGGAATAACTAGAACTGAAATATGAAGATGTAAAAATTGGTGCACCATTGTTTGTCTTTGTATTTAATTAGTCAAGTAAGACTAAGGTAAGCACAAAGTTTAAAGTGTTCTATCATATGTAATACTCACTTAAGAATGACTTGCCTTTTCAAAAATATTTACTCACCTTTTAAAGTGTGCTTTGCCTTTATTGAATTCAAATTAACACATAACCATAATACCTCCTTAATAAGGTATAATTTATATTTATTTTGATCATATAATGTTCAATATATTTTATATATAGAAAATTTGAAAAATGTAGAAAAATACAAGTAACAAAACACCCTTGTAATCATATAGTTTTAATGATTAAATTGCATTAAATTTTCTCTTATTTCTAAAGCTTTTTTTCATTTTACCAACCCTGCCCAAGATGATCTTAATATGTTAAATAAAAGACTTGTAGTTTGCCGGGCGCCGTGGCTCACGCCTGTAGTCCTAGCTCTTTGGGAGGCCGAGGAGGGCGGATTGCTCGAGTTCAGGAGTTCGAAACCAGCCTGAGCAAGAGCGAGACCCCGTCTCTACTATAAAAATGGAAAGAAATTAATTGGCCAACTAAAAATATATACAAAAAATCAGCTAGGCATGGTAGTGCATGTCTGTAGTCCCAGCTACTTGGGAGGCTGAGGCAGGAAGATCGCTTGAGCCCAGGAGTTTGAAGTTACTGTGAGCTAGGCTGACGCCACAGCACTCACTCTAGCCTGGGCAAATTGAGACTCTGTCTCAAAAAAACAAAAAAAACAAAAAAACAACAAAAAAAAAACTGTAGTTAATAAAATAATTCTATTTATTATTTGGGAATTGCTCTTCCAGGCCAAGAATGTTCCTCCACTTACTGCTAGCATTAGCAGTTAATATAGTTATATTCATATTTTATATCCTCCTTCCTAGAGGGTAGCCTATGATTTCATGGCATTTCTTCTATAGCAACCTTGTCATATCACCAAATAAAGATAAAGAGAGGAATAGAAAGATTGATAGATTGATTTCTGTGTGTAAGTATGCACACAGAACGCATATATTCATATATAGTTTATTTACCTATAAATAAATATAAAATAAATAATAAATAGAATATATTATAGATAACATACAAATGTATAATAAATAAAAATGGTATACATATTGTTATATATAACCATTACTATTATAACCATACTACATCCCTTTCATGTACCAGATAGGCTACTAAGGATGCAGCGAATGGCTTTTGATGTCATTATATGAAGAAGAGTGTTTAGGACTATCTTAATTTTCCCCCAGCAGCAAATAAAACTAGGTGAAATAAAACTAAACATTGCAAAATTTACTTTTGTGATACACATGGAAAAAAGATAGTCATTGACACTCTATGATGGAGAAAAACCAAGGTGAGGGTGAAGTAGAAAATCAAACAGTAAGAAAAAATAGTTTATTATAAGAGACTTTGCATAAACTATGCCACATAGGTAATAAAACTGATTTTTGAACAAATGCACCAAGGATTACTGACATGATTCTTCAACGTGATTCACTTTGGAGACTTGCACTAAATGTGATATTATTGCTATTTTACAAACATTTGGCAGATTTCTTTTTGAAATTTCTTTCCGTGGTTACATTACCTTGATTTAAATGTCAGTGATATATATTTAAAAAAACATTCTGGAGGATAAATGCATTTTTGACAATTGGTAGTTGAAGTTAAGTCTTATCAATAAGAATAAAAGTAACAAATATGGAATTTGAGGAATATATACTTCAATGCTAAAGTATGTAAATGAAGAATGTGTCATTGATAAACCAGATTAAAGGCTTTTCTTGAAAAGTAGTTGTCAAACCATTTTTAGTAATGGCAATAAGGCTGAGCTAAGTACATAATTTCCAAGACAATCTCTAAGATTAGGCCTCACTCAAACTTCTCAAACTTCTGTGCTCAAGGGGCTCCAATTGCTTTTAGAAAAAAATACACATTTATTTATTTCTCCTAATAAATTTTCCCTTGTGGTAATGAACATGGTAATTCTGATTACTGGAAAGATACCAAATTTGAAACTGGTTATAAACACATAATCTATTTCTAACTATATCATTTTAAAGCAGTTCTAAAAATACTAACTTAGTAATCATTTTGTCTTCTTTCCAGGAATAAAATCTCAGAGCGAGGTATAGAACACATGCATTTCAATACATATTATGCTCCATACTTAGGTCATGCATGTTCCTACATATCAAAGAACACTTGACTATTATTAAACTCATTTCATGCTTTGCTACACATAGTATCCCATAATCCCACAGCTCCAAGGCTTGGAGAACACATTCAAAGTATATCTAAAATAATAGTTTAACAGTCTGTCTATGTAAACTATTGATAGGAACACTGCCAAGTTGAAGTAACGGTTGCCTAACAAATGAAAATAACCAAGCTCTTAAAGTCACAAACTTTGACCTTGAGGTTTTAAAAAATGGAATGTGTTTAAATACACAAACCCACACACACACACACACACACACACACAGACCAGCTTACCCAAAAACAGATTTAAAAGTTTAAAGCCAGGCATGTATCTCTTAATAATATTTTAATGGATTTCATTTATGGAGAATTTGGGAAGATCAGATAAATTTAGAAAAACATCAGAAAAATGCAAGCTATTTTATCAGACTGATTTGGATACCTAAATATGAATAGTTTTCCCTTAGAGTTCCGGCTTTGTTCATTTATTATTCTTTTGGGAGACAATTGTCATCATAGTTTGCTGCTAATAAAGCATCAGTTGCTTTCCTGTTTAAAAATACGCCCAAGGATAACACAGAGTTACTTTGCTCAATTTCTCTCTCCTAGAAAAGGTTTGTAAATGATAATTTTGACTTGAGGAAAATAAATAGAAAAGAGTAAACATGAAAAGCTAAGTTATCAACCACATACTCCTTATGAAAGCACTTCCTTTTTACCTCACACGGTCCTGATCCGATCTTTTCAGCCCCAGCACATATTTCTGACTCATTCAGAGTCACCTTCCCTTGATGATGCTGGCTGCATTTCTCATTTCCCATGATGTAGAGATGTGCTACTCGTAACAAACCATCAGAGTTGATCACTAGAATAGTCCAAATTAGAAGCAGTGAGTGAATACAGAGTAAGGTGAGAAAAATAAGAAACAAGATAAATGTGGTCTTTTTTCAATAAAATAAATATTGCCTCATCTTTTAAAAACCAGCTTACATCCGGTGTAGCCCCAGCCATAAACACTGCAAGTGGTCTTTTCAGGAATTGTGCATCCATAATTAGGTAAATCAATCGTACTAACAAAATCGTCTAGAACAGCAGGCCTGAAAAGAGAAAATACAATGGTAAGTATTCTCCACTGGAGTCAACACAAAATTAACATTAAAATGTAGTGTTCATGTTTAATATGACATTTACTGAGAATGAATCTTGTTTCTCAAAAAACTGGAATGTCTAATATATAATGACAAAATGTAGAATAGTAGTAGAAAAATTAGTCAAAAATTAGTCATTTGGTAATATTAAGTGTTTAATGATATTTTTTATTTTACATTTTAAAGTTATCAAATAACTGCTCACAAAGCTTTAGTTTTTAAAGCAGACTAATTAGACTGTTGGCTCAACTTCATTCATTTTTGAAAATTTTGCAAATACCTCTCTGTCTCTCTCTACACAAAGAGAGAGACCCATACACACATATGTATACACACATATATATGACATGTGACATATTTTTTTATAATAAATCTATATGAGAGAGGAAGAATAGACATGCAGCTGAGGAAAATGCTTCAACAATTTTAGTCTAGGTTAAAAATACAAAATCTAAAGTAACTAACCTAGCAAGCTTTAGTAAAACCAGATCTGATCCTTCGGGTCCATATACTAGCTGGGAAACATTGAGAACCTGTTTGCGTTTCTCATCTCCTCTTCCATGGACATCATGAATTCCAAGCCAAGCTTCATAATCTTTCAAGTCTTTGTTTCTAAGTAAAAAATTTAAATGTAAAATATAATTCCAAATTATGTAATATTATTCCTATAATATGAAAACCAGCTTACATCCAGTGTAGCCCCAGCTATTGCTATTTTAGCTTATAAGGGCAGATAAACAATCTAAATTTAAAATGTGATTCAAGTTATAATAAATGGGAGATTCTGAATATTGTAAGCATACGTAAGCGAAAAGAGCTTTTAAATTGCTGAAATTCTAAATGGCTATTTAAACATTTGATTATGCTTGCTGGAGAGTAAATCACTTGTGAAAAGTTCTCAGGTAAAGCATTTTACTTGAATTCTAATTTGACTGCAAATCTTGTTTCATTTATCTCAGGTGTGTATATATTTGGTTCGGTAGTGGAGACTAAAGTTTTATACAAACAAAATCAAAGTGGCCTTAATGAATGCTGCCTCCTTATCTTTTCCTTAAGCTAATTTTCATTGAAAATTATGCCCAGAATGATTCTAAGGTTGATTTTACAGGGAAAGGAGAAGTTAAGATTAAAGTAGTCTGTTGATAAAAGAAAACAAATTTCTCTTTAGAAATACAGGGTGCAAGTAGCAGGTTAAGATACAAATTATTGACATAATTCTAGCAAATTTTCCTCTAAGTGAGAGTAATAATAATTTTGAACAGAGGTGAATTGAAATAGTGCCCCGTAAGTAAATATCAGTGAAGTCAAAATATGTTTTATAAGCTAAGTTTTAAAAAGAAATTAATATATATTCACCCCATGCTAGTGAACCTGTACAATGAATACACATTCTAACCGTAAAAGCTATATAAAGACATGTATTTTTAAAGGCTCAAAACAAATATTAGTTTCAAAAACATTTTACCTAGAAGGGAAACATTGTCTTGCGGTTAGAACCCAACTTTCTTTTATCAATGATCCTCCGCAGATATGTTTATTTCTATGAGAAAGAGGAAAGAGAAACAAGTAACATCTGTGCAGAAAGAGTGATTGCCAATTAATGCAAAACCTATGGCTCCATTTGTTAAAAATAAATCCACTGGAAAGGAAAATGTAGAAATTAACCTAACTGGAATACAAATAGTTCTTTTATCTGAAGGGTGATATTTGGTAATTGTAACATAAACATTTTTTTTAATGTGATTATAATTTTATGAATTCAATTTTACTTTTGTCTAATTTAAAAAATCATCATTACACACCAATATCCATTCCCTACAGACACATTTATGTGTATGTGCACCTATACTTGTGAAAGAAAGTACGTGCTACAAATATAGGATAAAAAAAATTGGACGTATTTGAAATTCAGTGTTTGATCATGAGAAATGCAAAGTTTAGTTCTTATTTAAATCCTGAAAACCATCCAGTGGTAGCAAATATTGTTTGTACACTATTTCCTACTTTTGCTACCGTTATTTAGTTTTGATATAGTAACCTAAAATATAACTGAGTTTGAATTTGTTGATTCAGTGTAAAACTGGTAATACAATATTTCCTTTATAAAAGTTAAACAATTATGAAAGACAAATCATCTAGGAAATTGTAAAATGTTTTTAAAGAATTATAAATACTAGTGCATTTATTTCCTGATATCCAAAATTTGTAAATCTATTTTTTTTGGCAGAGACATGGAAAACTTACAATTTTTCACAATTTACATTTCCAAACAGTACAGATGTTCAGTGCTTCAGAGAGTAATACTAGAATATTCCCAGACAAAGACCACAGTTATTTATGGCCTTTGCCACACAGGAGGATAAGAGTATATATGGAGTTTTAACTTCTATTCCTCTCAGTATGTGTTTTGGAAGAAAAACTAAACAGCTGTTGTTACTAAGAACTTGGATTTAAAAGGAAAATAAATTTCTAAAAGTTTATAGTACTCTGATCTGATGAAAAAGGGTTTCATCTGCTTCTCCAAAAATGAACATTACCAAAGAAGTATTCTTGTATATTCTCTTTTTGGTAAAAATAACTTAGAAATATATGGCTTTTTCCCCTGTGGTTATGAGATTAGCAAAGAATCACCAATTAACTCAGATATGTAGATTTTTGGAACATTTTCAATAATAAATAAAATTAAACACTCCAAAAATTCCTAATCTTTATTAAATCTTCATATTGCACAATCAGCTTTATATTCTGGTTAATTTCACAATTCTATTTCAGTACTACATACCTAGGACAGCTACACTATAATTATTGGCATAAACATTTATAAGATCTAATGAGTTATTCCTTGAGAAAAATGAACTTTTGGCCATATTTTACAACATTATGGTTATCTAAAGTCATATATATCAAGGGATGTCAACTGTTTGTTACGAATTTGTTTATTCATAAAAGCACTTCAGTTTCAAGTTGTCTCAATTCTATTTTAATGTTACTATTATTTAGTGGTATTAAAAGATATATTTTCCTCCTCTATTCGAGGACGCTAAGGTAAATGAACAAGAAGCATTTCCTAAAAGAGTAGATCTTTAAGTTGAGATTTGAAGAATGAGAAAGAATTTTTAGGCATTAAACATGGAGGCAGAAAGCCACAACATGTAGTGGGAATGACAGGAGGGAGAAACTTGAAACATCTAGAAAATAAGAGAAACTGTGGCTAGAATTCAGGTATATTTTGGGGTATTTTGTTGTATGATGAGGTTCTGATAGAGATAAATAAAAACATAGATATTTTATCTTTCTGATTGCTATACAGAATAATATATATAATATATGAAAGGTTGTAAGATTAGATTTTAAGTTAACTTATATTTTCAATATTTAATTTTTATGACATAATTATTAAGTTTAATTTTATTTAACAATATAATTTGCAAAGTGATTTTATATACAACATGCCATTGATTCTTAAGAGCATTGAGAGAAAAATGTCAAGAATTTTTTATCCACATTGTTTATTATAACATCAAAACCAACTACAATAGAGTTTTTTAACCTTTTTGTAATGATAAAATATTTCAGATTATAAAATGGCCATTTTTCATTTGAATGACAAGGAAAACATCAGAAATTAAAAACAAATATAAAATTTCTGACATGATTATACAAAACATGTTAGAAAATAAACTCATCATAGATTGGGAACTTAATAACATGTATTACAACTTCTATCATGATATTATGGTATAAATAGGTTTTCTGTATAGTTGTTCTTTGCTTAATCAAAACCAAAGTGTCCCTTGGATTCGGGGACAATGCCGACACAGATGGAATCTTTGTGAACATTTTCAAGCTCACTACCTCTGGAAGCACAAATTGCAAAGTCCAGAGCAAGCAGAATGTGATCAGTCCCCTCATTTATCTCCTCAGTGGGGTGCACTGTGGAGGGCACAACCTTAGCAACCCACATGTGACCATACATCTGGGAATATGACTTTTGCAAATTGTTTTAATACATTTGATTTGGCATCTATTAATAATTACCTGTATTTCAAACTAACCATCCATCCCACATTTGTTCGTGTTGGAATCCCATTTACAACTCGCAATTGTTTTGTTTTGGCGCAAGATATTACAGGATCTGAAACCAGGACCAAACATAACATTTTGACATAACACTTCAAAATCATCAGTGCCTCTCAGCTTTCTTAAATACAGTGATAACTAGACAAATGTAACTACTACATTGTGTCAGAAGGACATTTTGGAGAAAGAGTAATATTATAGGACCACAATACCATATCGAGCCTCCAGCTCTTATTGTCCTCATATAAGGAGTAGAATGACATAGAAAAACGAATCAAGTCAAGGCAGACAGGATTGCTGTGATAGTGACAGTGGCTTTGCTCACTTATGCACTAAGAACAAGTTCTGCAGGCCTAATACTAATGCTGTATTTGCCTCAACATAAAATGAACCAATGTTATTTATAGTTGTTATTTCTAAATGTCAATAGAAATCAATTGCCTAAGTGAAACAGAGTACACCATAACTATATTTGGTTATTTTTTCTGAATTTGTGCAGTAAGAATGTTAGAGCTATTTCGAAACATATTACCAACATTAAATTTATTGAAATTATATCCAAATGACATTATTATATCCAAATTATTATGTCCAAATGACATAACACAGAATTCTTTGGAGTAAATGTTTTCCTAACCCTTCTCAGCGTTCCTTGCCTTCTTCTTTCTACTTCTGCCCAGGGTCTAGAATAGATTTCCATTCCCTTCCTCAGCCTGGGGCACAGCAGGTGGTCTTTTAAATCAAAACACTTGGGTAACTTTGTTCAGCCCAGGAAATATGTGAAAAGCAAGAACTAACAGCTCCCAATAGATTCTTAAATTGAGGATTAACTGAACCTCTCAGATTGTATCATCTTTTGCCTAATAGACTGTAGGGTGAGCAAAGAGCTTTAAAGATAGAGCAGAATAGAGACACTGAGTAACTTTCCAATTTTCTGGTTTCATTCTTTTTGACTTTAGCATTCCAATTTTATTTAAAGGGTAGTGTATATAAAAGCGATCCATTATATACATTGTGCCCCAAATTAGAAGTATAAATGCTTTTTTCAAAATTACATATAGATTTTCTGATAGAGAATTAAATTTTGATATTCAGTATGCAGTTGCCTTTGAAATTCCTTCATCTACATATAGAAAAAAAAACAAATAGATTAACTTACTCTTCTGATGGAAGTTAATAAAGTATAAGGCAATTTTTTATGAAAAATAATGACATCATTTCTGACACATAGAAAATCAGATATACCTTATATTTTGAATGATTACTTACGGTCTAAATTCACTATTGTAGGTGTGGTATCACCTTCACCTGTAAAAATAAATATATAGATAAATATAATTCATACATAAATATTTCTATTATATAAAATCAAATTATATATTAAAATTCAAGTATTCATACATCTAACAATTTCCTAAGATTCTTGACATTTTATTCAAAGATAAAATGTCATAGTCCTCTTTTGAGTAATTATGTATTACTTTTATTGGATAATATCGTAGGTATATGCCTACCGGTACTAGGTGATGTGAGGAGAGCCCAATTTTATGACTGTGAAGGTTCTCAGGTGTGTGGTTTGATGACTATTGGTAGCTTGAATTTCACTGCTGGCATCAAGGAGTCACTTTATTCTACCAAGATGCCCAATATTGTACACAATGAGCATTTCATTAAATGGAACTAATGAGTGTGTTTGCTTGGACCAGGGGTTCTCAAACTTTTTAAACAGGGGGACAGTTCATTGTCCCTCAGACCGTTGGAGGGCAGGACTATAGTTTAAAAAAAAGTTTAAAAAAACTATGAACAAATTCCTATGCACACTGCACATATCTTATTTTGAAGTAAAAAAACAAACGGGCAAAAATACCCGCATGTGGCCCGCGGGCCGTAGTTTGAGGACACCTGGCTTGGACCCTTCATAGACAGACTATTTTGTCTTTACTGTAATTTGAATCATTTAAATTTTTTTCTGAAAGCTCTCATTCTTAATCTTTGCAAGAATTCTGGATGATAGAAATTAATGTCACTAATGGGAAAAGGGGATAACAAAATATAATTATGTTTTGTTGTTAGAATATTTCAAAGATTGGCTTTTCCAGATGCTAGTAAAAAATGTATGGAAAAAAGAGAACACTGAAAACTACAAATTAATTCTAACTAAAACCTCATAACTTACTACTTTTTCATCTCTACTGGGGTTTAATTGCTGCAAAGAGAAAGGCTTGGAAGATGCTAGGATTTGGAAATACTTATGCAGTAATAAATGAGACACAAGACATTTCCTGGAGCTTAACATTTGACTGTTCAGAATTGATGGCATAGAGTTCAGTCAGGCACTGTTTAGACCCAGATGGTTGTTAATCCCTGTAAACGCCCTGAGCTCAAATAAACCAGCAACAAAACAACAATGGCATATGGATACAAATTTGATTGTTATTTGTGAGGATAGGTAAGGGAATTAATACATGCTTATTTATGTTCATTTTCCAGCTCTAGATATTTTAAATGAATAGGAGTAAAGGTGATTATAGAAATTCTATAACTTCCTTTTCCTCTTAGCTTATACTGGGGGAGGGTTTTGTTTTAGAGTCAGCTGAGATCAGTATTTTAGTTCACAGTACAAATTAAGATTGAGGCAGACTATGGAAATGAAACATTCAAGGATATTGTTTTTTCCACTCAAGTCAATTGCTTGAAAATGTTAAAGTAAATAAGTAGATATTTATTTCTTATGTTGTGATGAGAGAGACTAAATTATTCATTCTATCCTTAATTGCATATTTAGTCTCTTATTTCTAAGCACTAAGCTAGTAAGTAAACAAAGTGCTTCGTTCTTGTACCTTACTAAAATATTTAAAGTTTTAAAAATCTGTAGATATTATAAATGTGGTATTTTAATAATTAATAGTAATATGTATGTTTTGCTTCTTCAAATCTGATATTTCTCACACTTCATAATAAGCTGAAATACCATATGAAATCAGATTTTGGAGATTCTAAGCAGGTGGCTCAATTCTGAATTTTTAAAAAGCATTCTAGTTTCTTCTGTTGTGTACTTTGAGCAAAACTTTGAGAAACTGCTCTGTAGGCCCTTTCCATTTCACTATCAAATACTATTCTCATCTCTCCTTTTATACTTACCCCACTATCTCTACAACATTATTCATGTCTGAAAAATATATATGATACAAATCTTATTTGGTATTGTTTCAACTTAAATTTGAAGAAGGAAAACATGTCAATGATAACTGTTTTACCTGTGGAAGAGTAGATGTGTGTGTATGTGTGTGTGTGTGTATGTATTTGTATAGCCTCAGAACCAAACATGGGCTCTTACTGAAAACATAAAGAAATTCTTTCTTTTACTGTATTTTTAAGTTTCAATTCAAATTCAAAACTCTATGAACATCACATATTTCTCCAGGCACATATCTATATTCCCATTCTCATTTTATGTATTAATATTAGTATATATCTATTACAGGATTATATTGTTTTATGGTTGTTTATATAAATGTCTCTCCTCTATGCTGTAAACTATTTGAAGAAGCAGTGTGTGTGTGTGTGTGTGTGTTTATATTTTTGTAACCTAGCATATTATATAGGGCTTTGCACACAATAGCAGAGCAATAAAAAATAACAAATGATTCAATAAATAAAAATAGGGATGGAAGGTGGATTTTTGAGTGTGTACTATGCAACACTGTTCACAATAGCCAGATATGATAGGTATTTTTATTTTACAATTTTACAAATACAGAAAATGATTCATAAGTAGGTTAAATAACTTGACCATGGCACTTAAAAAGTGATGAGTCTGGAATTCTTAGGAAGTCAGAGTTGATGCTCTTAACAACTACATTCTCACTAGTTAATATTTTTCTAAGATATACTAAGTGTGTGTGTATATACAAACATATAGGCATTTCTACATTTTTATGTTTGCATATTTGAAAAGCTTAGAATATATTGAATATTATTTTGTAAGCATTTTAGAAAAACATGAATAAAAACTTTTATGTTTTGTAAGATAAATAAATGTATAGTGTGAAAATGATTTATATAGTCTCTGCAGTTATATAAATAATAATAAATCAAATCTTCTAAAGATAAATTTTACTAGCCTTTCACCAGAGAGAAAATGTAAATAAATCCTGGCTATAAATATTAGTTGGAAAAATGACTGCAAAAATCTTTATTGAAATTAATGTTTGGTATACACTGTAATAAAAATGAGTTATCTGCAATAGCATTTAATCAAATACTAGAAACACCATGAAGTCTTTCAACAGCAAATTACCAACTTTTATTTTAAAAATATTAGTTGGAAAAAAAATACTGAAAACTTTTAAATTATGAGAGTCTTGTCTCCCTTAGTTAGACTTATAAACCAAATCACAGTACCCTGAGATCTACAGAAGCATTTTACTCTAAACTACACATATGTGCTAGATGGAGCTGCTATGAGTTTTACAAATCTGTAATTCTGTAGTGAAACCAATATAACCTGTTTTATAAGCCAGATCACTGACTTTTTCTTTCTTCCTAGATCAGTGTATATTTCTATGAGCCTCCATTATTCTTAATCAGGGAGACTTCACAAAAAGATACAGTGATACAAAACTAACACTTAGAAAACATACTCCCTAATCAGTTTTTCTTTTCTTTTTATTTTACTTATTTATTTGTATGGCATTCTGTGGACAGGTAGCCTTGTTTGTTTGTTTTAGTGTTAAAATGTGAAAGACATCTTTGCCGGGAGAACATTTTCAGGGCCTATGCAAACCCAAATATGAGGAAAGTGTAGAACATCAGGAAGACACTAATTAATTTGAAAGGCTATGATCATGGCTGATAAAAACATAATCATTGGAAATACCATTTCTTTGCAATTATACAAGGTATCTAATTATTATTATAAAGAATTTCTGTATTTTTCTCTATTAAAAAGTAGAGCCATTCCAACTCTTAATGATAGGTATATTTAATTAGCATCACTCTTAATAAGTTTGTCTTTATGCTACAATTTCATGAAATGCAACTAGTGATTCAACTTAAGATGAAAATTGCCTCTTTAATTGGACATACACTCTGGAAAAATATAGACTAGTGTTTGTATTTCATTTTTAAAATCAATATCATTATCTCTCTTTTTAGGGTGGGCGTTTTTGCTGCCACTCTCAAAGTACTCACTACTACTAGCTTGTCTCACAAGAAAAATATTCTTAAAATGAGGTTCTTTTTGAACTTATAAAAGTACATTCTTTCTAAAAAGAAGGTAGTTTAACATCGTGGTTTGCTGTAAAGATCCAGCTATGATACAAGTGTAATAAAATGGTCTCTCACTACTCAAACGGCATTATAAAAAGGCTTTTTTTACTCAATAACATGTTAAAGACATATTTCTATCTCAATACATATTAATGGTTCTCAGTGGGGGTGATTTTGTCCCCCAGGAGACATTGGCAATGTCTGGAAATATTTTTGATTGCCATGACTTAGGCAGGTGTGGTGCTACTGGCATCTAGTGGATAGAGGCCAACAAAACTACTAAACATCCTACAGTACACAGAACAGCCTTCCACAGCAGAGAATTATCTAGTCACAAATGTCCGTGTGCCAAGCCTGAGAAATCCTGATGTGTATCAGCAATATTATTACTTCTGATAATATTGCCAAACTGACTTCCAGGCAGGATTTTCAATTCACCCTCAAAAAAGTAGCATAGTATTGAGAAAGCCTTATTATTCAAGCCCTCACTAATATTAGGTATAATAATCATTTTATTTGCCAACATGATAGGTAAAAATGATTTCTCATGCTTTTTAAATTTCATTGTTTTCTTACTAGTAAGTTTTAATGTCTTTTCATTTATTTATTAAATGTATTCTTGAAGATTTATTTTCTTCATATTTTTCCTGAGTTATCACATCTTTTCCTTATTGACATGTAGGGGCTTTTTTATATGAAGTATATAAGACATGCATTTTATATGAAGTTTATCAAACATGTATCATATGCTTTACATATATCTTTTACTTTTTGCACTAATATCCTTTTAACAAAGCCATCTTGGATTCAGATAAGTGGATAGAAATCTCCAGGCTCTTCTTAGTCTTGGGTTAAATAACTGAGAAGAAGATGAAGGCACCAGCATTTCAGGTCTATTCACGAGCTTTCTAGTGGACTGGGGACTTTGCAGAGAGAATGAGTGGTATGTGTGTGTGTGGTGTGTGTGTGTGTGTGTGCTTTTGTGTCCGTGTGTGTTGCTCTCTGTAGGACATCCTCATTTGGTGATCAACTCCAGACCTCGGATATCATTTACAACTCTGATGAAGGTATCATTTTAGAGGAGACACAGTATACTGAAAATATTTCACATGAAAAAGATGCCTAACTGTACTTACAACGAGAAATAGGGCAATAATCCCAGGGAATGAGCGGATTCCCCGTGTAACACCAGGGGCCGTGGGCATCATCGTCGGGATTGCGGCAGTAATTCTTATTCAGCTTGCTAGCATCTGGTTCCCAGAAGATATGGCTGCATAAACAACAAGCTTCAAACATCACAAGACACTCACTCCATCCAAGAGAAACAACATACTTCAAGAAGATATAATCCTAGCACATTACTTTCAAAGCAGATCCAGCACAAGCTTGTACTTGGGGTGAATTTTACTTATTTTGTTTGATCTTTATTTTGTTGCTGCTGTTGCTCTTACAGTTTGGTAGCACATTTTATAAGTTGGAAATATGGAAAGGAGCTCCATAATTAGCATGTACAAAATCATGAGGGATTTTGTAACTGCCTCTATTTAATAATTATGGTGGAAGGTAACAATACCTCTGCATAGATATAGGGAAACATTGTCTAGAACAAGCAGATGGCAAAGATCAGAATTATAAAATGCATAGAAAATACAAGCTATTGTTAAAGTATTTTTTCACATTTAAGGTACAGATAAAGCATCACTAGCAATATGACTATGATAAAAACAGGCAGATACACTGAAAATTAATAATTTATGCTATGGGAATGCAAAACATAATGTAAAGTATAAAAATAATGTGCTAATGAAATTCTAAAATTTTACTGGTCATATACTTACAAAATATGATTTTCTGACTGATAACTAACATTTCAATCTTTCTAATTTATATCTTAATTAAATTTATTACCAAAAAAGCAAAAACATTATATGTTGTAAGACCAAGCCCATTCATGGAACATCAATATTTAAATTTACCTCAATAACATTAACATAGTCAAATTCTACATGGCCACTCTGATCAAGTCATGAAAACCAGACATCTAATTAAATTGATCTTGTGTTATTAATTACTACCATGCTTGAATATAATTAATATATCATTTTAAGTAAAATTGCAAAGAGCTTGAACATGGAAACGTGGACCATTTCCAGACTAAGTTTCATTTTATGGAAAAAGAAGTTCTTTACAGACGTAACCTTAGATCAATCTTTTGAAGCAGACTTTAAGATTATGCTTTATTACACTTAAGGAAATTGAAATCTCCAAACAATAATTAATTTCATTTTCAAACACTTTAACATTTCAGTCTTTGCACTTGCTATTTCTTCTGTCGAATGTGCTCTTCCTCCTCTACTTCTCTTGGCCAATTCCTACTCATCGTGTATGTCCCAGCTAATCCCCCTCCCTTTAGGAAGCCTCCTGACCATCTAAGTCTGGGTAGGCACTTCTTTGTATTCCCATAGCATAAAATATGATCTCTTCCATATATAATACAGTATTGGCATTTCCTGTTTGCTTGCGTCCCATACTAGAGCGTGAGATTCATGAGGGCAGAACTCTGCTGCTCTCTGAAGTTCTAGACTCCAGGTAGTAGCTTCTAGTCACATGTGGCTACTGAGCAATTGATATGTGGCTAGTCCAAATTGAGAGGTGCTATAAGTGTAAATATATGCCGGCTTTTGAACATGTAGCATAAAAAAGAATATAATAGATGTCGTTAATAATTTTTATATTGAATACATATTGAAACTTTTAAAACTTTAGATGTATTGGATTAAATAGAATATATTAAAATTTGCCATTTTATTTTTATTTCTTTAAAAGTGACTTCAAGGAAATTTGAAAGTACATACATGTCTTACATTTGTGAGTTGCATTACATTTATACTAGAGAGCATTGCTTTAGAACTATCATATTTACTTGTGAAATAAATTAATTGAAATGATATCATCCACTATTGAGTATATTTTGAAAGAGAATAAGGGATTTAAAGTAAGACCGAAGCAAGGTGACTCTGAGCCCTTAAATTCCTATCTGCATATAGAAATGTCTTCTATATAGGATTGTGGTGGTCAAATGACATAATTTATATCAAGCAGCCATATTGTAGGCATTCGATCAAATGACACTTTTTTTTTCTTTTATTATAGTGCATATATTCTAGAATGTTCACTAAAAATCTGTTTGGGGTCACAAGTATGTGTCACACTTAATTTGTAATTTTGTAGACACTATCACTATTGCTAGGGCCCAGTGGATGCTACCTTTGTGAATATGTCCAATATAAGAACCTGTAATGCTTTGAAATATGTATTTTTTCAATTTGTATATACATTCCTATAATTATTATAAAATTTTACATATTAAAGCTACATGAGGAAACCTGTCTCTATACTTTTTAGTAGTTAAGTGGATATTTTAATTATATATTCATATGAAAATGATCACATCAATTTTTCAGAAACTACTAATACTAAATATGAGAACATAATAATCCTCTAATATACACTATTAAAACACCAGATTTGCCACTACAATTATATACTATCTTATTAAGTTATGTAATTGTTTTGTCAATGTGACCATGTCCTCCTTGAAGTCTGGAACTAAAACATGTGCCCACTTTTCGTTGATGTTACCCATGGTACCAATTACAGTACAGACTACATAGTAAATGTTCAATAAATGTGTGCTAACTTGAATTGCATATTCCAAAGTTTGCTACATGGAGAGACAATGTTATGAGTTGTATAGAAAAATCAGTCTAGTGTTTTTATTAGCTTACTATGATACATAAAGGAATAGAAAGATATAGCGATGTATGTGTATGAATATACAATCTGTTGTTATGACTACATTCTATATGTTGAAATATAGAAATTTACACACCGGTGTAAATCTTCCATGTTCTTGTCCCACATTGAACACGTTAGTCCAGATCTTGTTTTGGATAAATTGCCCATATAGTTTTTGCCATTCCCACGATAACAATCTAGATATAAAATACATGGAAAGAAGACTAGTGAATATTAGGGAGGATAAGGCAAAAACATTTTTAAAAAACATATAAAATTATGAAAATCAACATAAAAATTAAAATGAAGCACTCTGAAATCTGGTACAAATCACAGAGTTTTAAATATCTCAAAATATCTTTTAATGCAATCTCTTCTTCATTGAGATAAGGGCTTATGCAAATTCAAATATTACAAGTAATAATGTTTTTAATTAAAAAAAAAGAGTGGCCCTTTGGGACACCAAAGAAATGGGAACTTTTAGAATAACACATATATTTCTCAATATATTATTCTGAAAAATTTCATTCCATAGAAAAGTCTCTGGAATAATATACCAGGCACATTTCTTGTGTTTTGATTTTTGCCTTTCATGACACTGACATTGTGAATCACCCAAGACAGCTTTTTTACAAATACTCTTTAATTTCAATTTGATTATTTTCTCATGAAAAAAATCAAGTTATATTTGACAGGAATATTTCACCAGTGATAATTCATCCTTTTCAGAGTATCACATCCTGTGACACATGATGTCATTGGTGATGCATTTGATCACTTGGTTAAGTGGTATACAGGAAAAACTTCTCTTCATATTTAACAAAATCTGTTGAGGACTTTGAGACTGAATAAACCTCCTAGTGCCAAACAAATTTTCACTAAATGGCTTTAGGCATACTTTGGTGAACTTTGCATGAATCAGCTATTACTATGCTGGTTGTAAAATGGTTATTTTGCTATTTCTAACATTTCTTTATATATTTATTAGTTGGCATAGTGTAAATAAGATTTTTTTCTTCTTCCCCTACCTCTTTCATTTAGGTATTAGAAGTAGAAGTGCTAGTACTGGTGGCAGAAGTAGTTATTTAAATGTGGACTTGTGGATTCTATTTTTATTCAATGTGATATATAATCTATTCCTGTTATTCATTTTTATGTTCAAATTATTGCAAATCTATGCAATGAAGCTGCTTTAACTGACTCCTATGTCTCCTACCATGTCCCATGAAGTTTTAGTTTCCCTTTTTTAATTAAGCTATTTGTGTTCTACTAAATATTGATAGAAGTGTTGATATTAATCAAAAGAAATGTAGTAATAATAAATCAAGTTCTTCCAAAAATATGTTTCGGTTCTATATTTTAAAATAAACATTATTCTATAATTTTAAATAATAGCAAATATTTAAAAGTGACTTTATCATTAAACATTTTTAATCTGAATAAAAACCGTATATTTGACTATAAAATATTATCTACAAATGTACATCGAGATTAAGATTACTCTGTGTTTTAAACTTGGTAAATCAGAGCATATTGTAGCTGATTTTAAAATGTGTTACGTGATTATAATAAATGATAAACAAAAATTTTAATAAACTTGATTCATTGATTAATTTCATCATTTGTCCAGGAATCAGTTAACACGGTGAAAAAGAAATATGTATAGTAAGTATATTCAATTGTCATGTGTTCATATCCTTAGATCACATTGCAATAGCACTATAAGGAATTTGAGCTTAAATGTATTAATGAAAATTCAAATATAATCAGATTTAAAACAGATAAAATAGCAGTCATTACAGCACACCAAATTGTTTGCAGAAAGCATAAACTTGTAAAATCCAACACTTGCACACTTGAAGAATATACCAATTCAGAGAAACATTTTTCTCTGGTAACCCTATCTTTTTTCTACATTAGGAAAGTCTAAAGTTTTGACTATTGGTAGTAAATTCTTTAGATGTGCTTTTACTAATGAAAACAATTGTGCAACACAGTGTATCAGTACTACTCTTGTACATTTTTCATTTTTACACCTGTGTTTGGTTGAATATGTTATTTGAAGAGGTCTTTCCTGCCACCACCACAACCACTAGCCTTTTATTTAAACATGGGCTACGTGCTAGGTTTTTCTTAGTAAACTTTTTATTTTAGAATAATTTTTGGTTTAAGGAAAGTTGTCAAGATAATATAGAGAGTTCCTATGTATCATGCAGTTTCCCCAACTTTCAACATGTCATATTAGTAGGACAGATTTGTCATAACTGTTGAACTAATATTGATGCATTATTATTAAAGTCTGTACTTTGTTTACACACTCTTAGTTTTTACTCAATATCCTTTCTTGTGTTCTAGGATTCCATATCATACCACACTACAGTCAATAATAGTTGCTATTTTTCCTAAATCTCCTCTAGCTGTGATGTTTCCTCAGACTTGTTTTTGTTTTTGATGACTTTGACAGTTCTGATGAGAATTAGTCAGGTATTTTGTAAAATGCCCCTCAAGAGGGTTTATCTGATATTTTAGTTTGATCAGATGTGGATTACGGGTTTTTAAAAAGAGGAGGACATGATTTTCTGAGCACTTCTTAATTTCTATTCTCTTTCATTTGATGCTGCTAGGCAACATGTGTTCGTGTGTGTGTGTGGGGGGGTGTATTTACATCTATTTGTTATGAGTAACTACTGATTCCTCCTAATCTAACACCCAGAGTTCTTCCTTTCTTCCATTTCATTTCTCTATTTCCTTTTTCTCAAAGTGAGAACTCTGACTCCAGGTAATATCAATTATTAGTATGAATAGTAAATTCTTTTATTTACTACTATTTAAGAGTATACCAAGCAAAATTTCATGCCTAGCTTTTAAAAAAATTAACCATATACCTGAAAATTATCCCATATTAGTTCATAGAGAGTCTTCTTATTCTTTTTGCAAGTTCATAGTATTCCATTGTGTGGCTGTGCCAGAGTACATTTGGGTTGTTTTGCTATTACAGATAGTGCTGCAATAGAAAATTTTGTGCATATGTTTTTGCATGTTGTTGGAGCTGTATATTCAGGTAGTGGCATTGTTGGGCTAAAATCTATGTGGTTTTCTTTTTTACATTCTGATCTTTTATCCATGTGGAATCTATTTTCAGATGGAGTACAAGGTGTGGTTTAATTTTATTATTTTTCTAAATGACTAACCTGCTGATTCATTATTTTATTTTAAAAGTTCATATTTTACCCAGTGGCATATATTGCCATATTTTTAATATAATATGTTTCCATATGTAATTGGGTCTATTCTGGACTTTGTGTTTTGTTCCAGTTTTCAAGTTATTCCTGTGCCAGAACTATGCTATTTTAATTATAAAAACCTTATAGAATATTTTAATATCTGATAAGGTTAATTCCCTCTACTTGTTCCCTTTTTCAAGGTTTGGTTATTATACTTACATGTTTATTTTTCCAGGAGAATTTTAGAATCAATTTTTTTAATATTAGAAACAACTTATTGACCTATTTATTAATAATATCACATTAAATGTATAGGTTAGGTTAGGTAGAATTTATATAATTTTGATATTGAGTTATCATATCAAGAACAAAGGAAGTACATATTAAAGTACATTTTTGTGGCTTTCTGGAGTGACTTAAAATTTTTATCATATTAATATGTATATTTCTTTCTAAGTTTCTTCCTAAATTTCCATCATTTTTTTTGTTATCATAGATGTTGTTTTCTCTTTACATCTTCAAGCTCATATACAAATGCTAGTGATATTTGTATAGTAATTGTACCTTATCCTTCTACCTTAATGAATTTTTATTGATTCAATCCAGGTGTATTACTATTATATAATTTGTGTAAAGATCCTTTACTTTGTCTTTTCCAAATCAGTATGTTTTTTTGTCTAATTACATAGAATAATATCTTCAATACAATGTTAATGAGAAGAACAATGTTCAGTTATACTTATAATATTAAATAGTAATGGAGAAAGTAGAAAAACTTGTTTTCTTTTTGACTTTAGTAAGAATGCTTTAATATTTCCCTATTAAGTGGTGATTTTATGATTGATAGGTATATATGTGAATATATATATACATATATATACTCAATATATTTTATGGAAGCATATATGTGGTGAGTATATGTATGTGTTTATAATATGCATATGTTAAAATGTGAATATAGATGTTAAGAAAGTCTCTATATATGCCTAAATGGATATATATGAAGATTTGGATATGTATATGTGCATATACATAAAACCCATAAATTTTTATTTAATTGAATACCTTTATGAGGATGAGTGAGTTTTGCCACAGGAATTTCAGAATCTGTTGAGATTTATCATATGATTGTTTTTCTTACATTCAAAATAAATTTTGTTAATGGGTTTCCAGTGCTGAAACACTTTTGTATTCTTAGACTAAACTCGACTCAGTCATGATGTATTGTTTTCTTAATTTCTTTATTGGGCTATTCATTCAAATTTCATTTAAGATTTATATATTAATATTCATAAATGAGGTCCACAGTTGGTTTTTTTTCTGTGCTATCTTTATCATGTTTAGGTATCAATATCATACTTTCATCATAAAAATACTTTGAAGGTTTTACTGTAATTGGTAAAATTTGGGGCAAGTTATTTATGTAGTATTGAGATTATCTGGTCTCTGAGTGAATCTGGACATGCAGTATTTTTGATAGAATAATACTTTAATAAATTTCTATATTTCTTCTGTAGGAATTGGTCTATTTAAGCTTTCTTTCTCTATCAGAGTCCATTCAAGTAACTTGAATTTACCTAGTAAATTAATCATTTCACCTACATATTCAAAGTTTTATATAAGGTTGAATAAAACGATCTCATAGTTCCTAATTTTCCTGTTTTGATCATTATTTTATGTCTTAATAACTATTATATATTAGTGCTTTCTCTTTCTTGATTCAGTTAGCTGATAATTATTTATTTTGCTAATTTGTTAAAAATAAATCATCCTTTTGATTTGTTCACTAGTTCTATTCTTTCCTTTTTTCTCTCCTATAATGTGTGCTTTTATCTCGATTATTTTCTTTCTTAGATTTCTTTTGGTTTACTTTAGTCCCAACATTTTGAGTTGGAAATTTCAATCACTTGATTTCATTATTTTAAGATATTGACATAAAATTTAAATTACAAATGGTCTTCTGTTTATTGCCTTAAGTGTATCTTATATAACTTACTAAGGTGTTTTATTGGCATTTAAAAAAATTCTGCAATTTCAGTTTTCATTTTTCTTAACAGTGTTATTTAACATACAGTGGGAAAAGCATTCATATATATATACTAATTCAGATATTGCAAAATTTGAAAAAAGATTTCCAACTCATCAAACTATGTGTGGAATTTATACTTTCTGTTAAGTGAAGAAAGATAACAACATCCTCTCATACATAATCTGTGTATGTTTAGACACATATATATATGTAACTATAGATATATACATAACAATGCATATATATAGATTTATATGTTAATATATATGTATAAAACAATGTATACCCTTAGCCTGGCAGTATCATACAATGGCAAACTTTCAGTTTAAATTTCACAGTTAAATGTTGAATTGTCTAACAGTGTGAATAGAAGGTCTTTGCCTCCTTCATTTTTAAATTGTCCCACAGAGTCTAGCACATATTTGCATGTATCAAATATTGTTAAAGAATGAATCAAAGAGAGAAAGCATGAAATAATGGAAAGGTCATTGTAAGAAAAGTCAGATTTAATTCCAACTGTGCCAATTTGAGAATTTATGCAATTTATTTAATTCCATAAAACTGATTTCTTCATCTATTAATGATTATATATATACTAGATTTATTAGATAAGCAATGAACATCTACTTAAACTCCAGAATCAAAAACTTTTATATTCTATTACATGATCCTTTTTTAAGTGATATGTATGTATATAAAAATAACACACACCATAAGCTTATAAAACAATTGTTCTTGTTTCCTTCCATCACTCACAAATTATCAGCAATTTTTCAAGTAATTGAGATAGAAACACAGAAGACTCAGCTGGTACCAAACTTCCTTTAATCATTGGTTTCAACTTTATTTCCAACTGACCTTTAAAATCTGCCAAAGAATAGTGAAATTGACTGAAAAGGACTCATCCCCTTTCCCTCTACAACTCTATTTTCAGAGTTGCTCACGAACAATGGCACTTTGGAAAAAGTAAAAGGATGAAAGTATGCATAGGACAATAACTCTATGAAATGGAGCTTTAAATTAGGCTTGGAATTTGTAGGATGATTAGGACTGACCATGACCATGACCATCACCATCATAATTAAGTTTATGTAAAATAGAATATGATCATTTAAATTATAATTCAAGTTATTATATACCAACAAATGCCCAGGGCTCAACCTTATTATTAATCTTTAACAAATAATTTATTTTTTAAATCTATTTCAATCTGACTTTACTACTGCTCCCTGAGACAGTTATCTTCAATGGCATCTAGGTTTGCAAGAATATAGTGATTTATTCCAAACCCCACCACTACACATCAGCTCCACTGATAACACCCAGGTCCAAGTCACGTTCATGTCTTGCCTGGATTATCAAAACAACCACTTCATTGGTTCTCCTGTTTTAACCTTTGTTGAGAATAATGGCTATTTTCCAGAATGCAGCCTGAGTGATCCAGTTATAATTTAGATCAGATCACATAACTTCTCTTCTCAGAGCCCTACTACAGAGTCCCTTTTCTTTCAGAGAGAAAGTGCAGATCATTACAATTCCTACAAGGCCAATGCAATGTTAGCCTAGTTATCTAACTTCATCTCCTGCTACTCTTCATCTTGCTCACTCTGCGCCAGCAACAGTGATGTGCTTATTTCTTTAACTTTTCAAGCACTCTCTCATCTCATGTCATTTGCGTCTGCAGTTTTCTCTTCCTTGAACGCTCTTTACACATATATGTACAAGGCATATCCTGCTCCCTCACTTCCCCCAAGTCCTCCTTAAATGTCCCTTAACAAGTAAGATCTTTGCTGACCATTAAAGCGTAAAATAAAAGCACCCCTCTCCTCCTTTAGGATATTTTTGTCTCCACCACTTCCCACAAACTAAAATAACACCCCTACCCTCATTTTTATATCGCTTCTTTTCTGTCTGTTAGAAATTAGCTCCATGAGATCAAAGAATTTAGTTTTGTTTACTGGTGTATCTCCAGTGCCTAGAAGTTTGCCTAGACTAGCATACATGCAGGTAAATCAATCAATCTATCAATATTGAATGAATGAATATATTAAAGAAATCCAACTTCAGACTTGGTGATTTTGTTTGCTACCCAGCAAAAGCAGTGCAACAAGAAGTAGATCTTCTGCTATAAAACATGTCCTCCCTTTAGGCATTTCCCCTCAATTTAACCATGCCCATCCTGCAAAATGTCTGCTATTACCTTGTCCACTTGACGCATCACAGTTTGGAATTTGGGAGCAGTAGCCAACTCGGATGTTTGGATCAGTGGTAAAACACCAGGGTGACTCAGCCCCATCTGGATTTCGGCAATAGTTTTCTCTTAGGTCCCTATTAAGAATAAGCATGTTAATGTAAATTGACTGAGTTTTTACATTGGTGCAGTCAGTCCTATTACATTTCTAGAATTCCAGAATGTACGCATGTTTATAAATGGAGTTCTAAGTTTTTGGACCTCCGATAGTTGTAACAATTTAGAATTCAGTAGACACAATGGACACTGCCCAATTCACTGACATAAACGCTGTCAGATGTTAGCAGTTTTTTTTCTCCCTTCCACAGGCACGGAGTTACATACAAACATTACTGCTTCATGAAAGAGAGAAATAGTACCACAGCAATCTTCTAACCATTCTCAAAATTTTGACTTGTAATTGGTACCATTTCAAAAACTGGTCTGTTACTTGTTATATTTTTTTGGCCCATATATAATGCAGAAAAAACATATCTCTCTCTTCAGAAGAAGAGTTATAGTCATTAACCACTCTCATTTAAAATGGAAGTTCAACCTATTCAAATATTTGCCACAAAAATAGCTATTTTTTCCTTGAATTCTATATTTCTTTGATTTGTTCAATTTCCTGCATAGATATATTTTAGTTACAAAGCAGTTCTTTCTTGATTTAAGGAAGTTATATAAAATCTTTATAAATATTTCTGTAAAGTTAAGGCCTAATTATAGTGCAGAAAACAACTATATAGTAAGCTGTCAATGTACATGATTCCTACTAAGAAAAAAAGTCTGTGCTAATATTCTGTGTACATAAAAGGATTTTGTTAGTTTTCTATCTTAATATAACATTCATATTAAATAAAATATGGAATTTATGATAAATAAAATGAAATATTTTATACAAATTTGCAATTTTAGTTGAATAATTATTCAGTTAAATCATTTTAGATTGTTAATTTAAAGAAAGAAAAATAATTAATTAAGTGACAATCTATGGCTATCAAAAGTCTTAGTTAGGGTCCCTTTTTAAAACTTATTTTTAGAAGCACCTCATTAATCTAGATTAAGCAAGAATGAAAGCCAGGGTTTGCCCAGATATTTTCCCTAAGGCCTTACCCTTCACTTGAAGAAAGAATTGTTTACAATTGCTAAAGTTAGTTGATGATTTTATGATTCATGTAGATTCATGGCAGGACTGTTCAGTGACAGTGTTTCAAAGATTGTCATTTGTAAGGAGTCTCAGTAATAGGGCAAGTGATGTTTAACAGAACTACAGATACCTGACCAGCACAACCCCCTCTCTCCCCCCCACACCCCACCACTAGATCACAAATAGTAAATAATTAATATCCTGAGCAAAATGTTAAGTCCAGTTTTATAACAAAGCACAAGCTTTGTTTCTTGATATTTATGTTTGGTTATTTTGGCCAAATAGCTTAATTAATAAAGAATGGTTTAAATTCCAAATTCCAATAAGGTATAACAATTAAACTTTTGATAATTAAGTTTTAATTGTGAAGCCTGTGACTTAAATTTTTGTAATCATTCTCTTTTTCTTAAAGATGAAGTTTCTGGGGTATCCACGCATACACAACTTCTTCTTGGTTATTACCAGTCATTAGAAGTTAACAAAAAAGTATGAATGACACTGACACAGACTACTTTGTTTCTTTTAAGTAATATTTTCTCATTTTCTTTGTTTTCTCTAGTTTGATATTTCTGGGTGTGAAACACATGGATCAAGAATAGAGAGTGAATTGCTGTGAAGGAAATGAGGGAAATAAACCCAGAATAACAACTATATGTTTTGTTATTGTAAAATAATGTTTAAAAAATCTTAGCAGACGAATATTTACTATCTAAACAAATAAATTACTGAATTAGCTAAAACACACACACACACACACAAACACAAACACACACACACACACACACACACACTAATATCTCCCCTCTTCTCCAGTGGATGAGGCAACTCTAGCTCATAGCTCTCCACCCTGAAATGTTAGGCTGTCTTATTAAAAGCCAATTACATAAAGTCAATATATGTTATTTATAGGTGCTATTTCAGCAAAGCCACTATGAATGACTCGTGTGTTATAAATTTCAAAAGCAATCATTTTATGTTCCTCATAATAAAGTGGACAATTAAAAAACACATGGTGTTGTGGCTCTGTCCAAAAAAAGTCAAGTAGTGAAAAAAGGCAGCCGTAGAGAATGTACAAAACAACTATAGAATTGATACTCAAGGACATGATTCATCCAGACAATTGTTTTTACATCCCCATGTTTCAAAGCAAATCCAGGAGCAAAACATTCATTTAAACTTATAAAAATAATTTTGTTCATAGATCTTTAAGGCTGAAAGCTCATCAGCTTAAAAAGTTTTTTGTTTGATATCGTGGGGGTTCTTTTGGGGGTTTTTTGAGTTTTTTGTTTGTTTGTTTGTTTTGAGACAGAGTCTCATTTTCATGCCTAGGCTGGAGTGCAGTGGCATGATCACAGCTCACTGCAACCTCCAACACTGAGACTCAAGCCATCCTCCTGCCTCCAAAGTAGAAAGGACCACAGGTGCATGCTACCACACCTGGCTAATTTTTTTTTTTTTTTAATTTTTTGTACAGACAGGTGTCTCTCTGTGTTGCTCAGGCTAGTCTTGAACTCCTGGTCTCAAGCAATCCTCCCACCCTGGCCTCCTAAGGTATTTGTACTACAGGGGGAGCCACTGCACCTGGCCCAGTTTAAAATGTTAGCTGAAATCAAGGTAGGTCTCTTCTTGTAAGAGGAAAAAAATATGTAATTTCTCCCAAAGTTAGTAAGGAAAATTAAAAAGGGACTAGTTTGAAACCAGCCTGGTTATCATTACTATTAATTGATTTATTAAATAGAGCAAAGCTGTGATCAGAAACAACTTAGGGATGTGCTTTTCAAAGCACAGTGAATCAACACTCTGGATCAGAATCACCTATTTATTAAAATGCATATTTGAGGACCAAATCCCAAAACTAAGGAATCAATATCTCTGAGTGGAGTAATAAATTTCCATTTAAATCCTGATTGTCACTGGGCACTCTAAAGTTTGAGAATGGCTAACATAGAAATTAGTAAAAAGGAACCACTTTACCTCATTTCTCCCAAGGTCTGCTGAAATTTATAACATTTGCCTACTTTACTCACTTGCACTTGAAATTTTCAGGAGTTATGTCATGCTGGTGAGGATACTGAGAATCCCAACGTTGACATGGAATTCCGTTCCAAATGGTATTGATGGTGCCTCTGTAACCTTCTCCTTGACCTTGAATGCATTCAGTTGTTTCCGTAGGGACATCAGTATCATTTACAGGACTGTGAGCTATAGGTAAAAAGAAACATAAACTTAAACAAAATCTTTGAACATGTCATTTACCTCTTAGAGTTCATCAGCATTTCTTGGAAAGTTCTTTAAAGGCATTTTACTACCACATAATGCTGAATTTATAGTGTTTCCGAAATGACTGTGCAATTATCCCTAAAATCAAGTAGCTTAAATACATACAAAGGAGGTAGTGAAATTAACCCTGATTTTCTTCCAATATGATAAATATATTCTAAGCTGGTATGTTAAATGTCTTTTTTAATCATCTTGTTTAAAATAAACAACAAATCAGTTGTTTTTAAGAAGATCTATTTCCTTCTTTTTTTCCCTAGTCCAACTTCAATGCTTATCATACTTCATGAAGATCAGTAACTGAGTTTAAAAAAAGCATAAAATTAAATTTTTATCACAAACTTGGACTCTCTATTTTTGTGTTTAATGTTTACTCACTTAATCAAAATGTAACTCAAAACATTCTGGAGCAACTAAAAAATATCTTCTCAAGACATACATGAAAATGTTTATGGTTTGGTGGAGTAACATTAGTATAAAATCTTCAACTACTTTTACAGTCTAAATGATCATTCAGGATGCCTCTGGATGAAACTCAAGCTGACACCCTGTAGGATAGTTTGAGATTTGAATAAAATTCTTTGATTTATCCCATTAAGGGGATAAATCATTTTGTACCATGTCTACAAAGGAGAGGCCAAAATTAGACATGCCTTCAAAGACTAGGGACACCTATGAAAGTTTTCTATATTTGACAGTGTAAATTTTTTTAAATGGCTCTAAATTTTACTTAAATTTGTTTCTCTCATACAAATAATAATTACCTTATGTGACTGAATGCTTTATTTTATTGCATTCCATGAACTAAGCTTAGGCAAACTAAGTTCAGTTTAGAGTTATTCCATAAAGCTTTCTGAAAAAAAAGGGGGAAGAATATATTAATGACCACCCCAATCATCGGAATATGTTGTACACACAGATTCCACTAACTTCCTGTTAATAACTTCGTTTTAGCTCATTTAAAAACATGTTTCAATTTCTTGTATATCTATTTTAGAAAATAGAAATATAGCTCAGGAATATCCTAAATTAAAAAGAAATTCAAAGAAGATGAAAATGTCTGTGGATTGGCCCATAAAGTGGTAGTCGAGAGTTCACAGCCTAGAAAATTAATATATATTGATATTGGTGATATATATAGGTTCGGGAAGAACAAAATATGTTGGACTTTGGGAAATAACTTGTATAGAAGAAGTTGATGTTGGTTTCTCATTTCTTTCATGACTATAATATTATTAATACCTAAAGCCCTTTGATGAAATCCAAAATAAGATGGATTTCATAGATCCTAAGGGACTACATTTCATCAAAATAAATACCATTAAGCTAGTCTATTTCTGATGATTTAACTGTTAAATGATTTGAGGAGACTGAATGTGTAGAGGAAATCTTTAAAAATGATGACTCTAAAGCAGGTAAAACGTCAAGCTTGTACTGATATATTTCATATCTAGTTATCAAACTATAATGAGAAAGAAGGCAAAAATCAATGTCCTCAGGAATCCATCAATTCATTAGCTTAACATGTTAAGAGAAAAGTTTTGATTCCCCCACCTCTTGGGCACAAGCTCTTGTGCAGAAAACATATGACCTCAGTAAGGACTCAGTCCTGACAAGAGAAGGGAGTTCAGAGTTAGGGCAGCCAGTATAAATACCCTTCCACTAATCTTCTCATAGACTTCATTGCCTGCCTCCAGTACCTCAACTCTATTACTCTCCTATTTAATTAAATGTGGTGTTTTTATGTTTTACTGCATAACCATTCTTCTCAAGCACTGCTCTGGTACTGAGCACATGAAACCCAAGATTCAGTCTGGATGAATCCAGAAGTCAATCAGGACTATAGTTGGCTAGATATGGGGCCATCACATCTCACTGAGAAACTAGTTCAAGACTGAGCCCATCAGAGCTCATCTGAGCTCATCTGAGCCCATACTAGTGTCTGTTCCTTGGACACTAATATGATTTGCCAGACATCAATCGAAACAATTTTTAAAAGGAATATAATATTCAGAGATGATTAGAGATTTAGCCATTATTTGATGGAATTTCTAAATAGTGGAAGCAACTTCAGGTGGCTGTTTCCTCTCTATGGGAAGGTAGTTTCATGTCGTAAAGGTACACTTGTGTGGGAATGAGAGAGTAAAACAATATGTCTACTATGTCAATGTAGGATTAAATATCAAGTATCATTTCTAGAGCATGTAATTAGACAAGGGGGACTGGAATTTCAAAGTAATTTTTTCATAAATAACTTTTTAAAGAGTTATGCTCTTTTAGAACTGACTCATGGTAGCTAAAATCTGAAGCAACACATAGAGCCTTGAATTAAAAAATGAGTGGAAATTCACTTTATAAAAAGGAAGATTATTAAGGGAGACGAGATCATTAAAAATCAATACCTGGAAGATGCAATAAGTAACTGTAAGAAACTACATGATTATCTGGAAATATTAAGAAAAATGATAAAATGTAAATACTCATAAAGGATAAATAGTTTCCTAATTTAAGGGCAAAATTTGAATTTTAGGAGTATCTGTGAAAAAGAAGCTCTATATTACAAAAACTCTAACAAAGAAAAGACCACTTGTATAAAAATATTAAGGAAAATATTTCACTGCTGACTTGTCCACTAAAGCTTCAGTGTCAAGTTCAGAGGCCTGTATTATTAGTGTTCATTCTATACCCCAACTGTAGAGGTTTAATTTAAAACCATATTTAATTTAAAAATCTTTCAATTTTAAAAATAGCTATAAAAAAGTATAAAATCTTATCATTCAAACGATTATGAATATTTTTTCTAAACTTTCATTAGCATATTTTAGAGCCCTTATTATCTTAAAGAGTTACTAAATATTCACTAAAAATAACCCAAAGTATGTTAAAATGGTAAAATGAAAATGAAAATTTTGTATTTGGATTGAATAATTTGAGTTATTTAATAGATTCTAATTTGGAGGTAGAAAATAAAACCTTTGGGAATTTCCAACATTACAGAATACAAAGAATGACTGCAAATTAATAAAAATATAATATTCTACCAAATAAATATAATTTTTCATTAGGCTTATTCAAGATGGAAAGAATCTAAATAATAGCATTATTGTTTGTCTTTTATTTTAATAAGTATCCATAACTTTAAAATATGTAACCTTAAATAACTTGACAGTTTTACTTTTTCTTGTGTTTTAATTCATCGAAATAGTTTCCATGATTTTAACCACAGAATAGCAGTATCTAGCTAATATTTTTCTTTAACTCCAACATTCCCCCTAAAGTTAGTGCATTGTATTTATCCCCTTTGACATTCAGCTGCTAGAAGTGACCTCATAAACAAAAACTACATAATTCTGGTGGCAATGTATCGTCGAATGAATAATATAGGCGAATAAAGATATATTAGCACAAAAAGGTAACTAAATAGTTTTCATCAATAAATAAGAGTTATTATGGGACTCCATGAAGCTGTTTAATAAATATTATCTGATGAGGAACATGATGAATGATTTTTCCATAGACCATTTAACTGTGATATAAATGTTTGATCTTTGCTGCTCACATAGTTACTATTCAAACAAAATGAATTATTCCTGAATGGCAGTAAAATAAATCCCATTTGCTGCCCTACTATATAAATATCAAAACTGGGTGCACAAACAAAACAAATGTTTCATGACAATTGCTTTGGGAAGACCTATTAAATGTTGGGAAAGCCATTCCCTTCTACTTACTACTTTAACATGGAACCTGAATAAGAGAAGGTTTTTGAGAGTGTCCAGTGATTAAACTAAGTGTCAAAGAAGTACAGAAACATCCCCAAACATTGGCTGAAGCTGATCAAGTTTAGACAAAGCAACAGATTTTTAAAAAACAGCATCCCCGCATATACAAATATTTTTGCAAGTATGTCTACCAAGTTCACACTGAAAATACCAGAAACTCTCTTCTGAGAGTTCCTCACAAATAAAACATTTTTTCCAGGGGCATCAGTCGTGGCCACACTTTGGAAGCAAATGCAAAGATATTTATAAAATCATCTATGGTCTATGAGTGAAGGAATGTTTGCCTTTGATGACTGACACAAAGTTTTCTGTTTGGGAATGCTCTAAGGAAAACAACATTTGCTATTGAAAATTTTCACTGTCTTGTTAGGCATGATCAAATGCAATGGGTGCCTTTTGGAACATTGATTTCACTTTGCTGGTATGGATGTGCTGTAATATGATTGCTATAATATTTGGAAGGGAGTTTTATGATTTGAATAGATTTTTTGAGAGAAAGAGTATTAACTGTTGTCTAAACCAAGCATCCTGCCTTTTAACAGAAAGAGACCAGTAGAACAAGTTCACTAATAAAATATCTGATCAATTTTCTCTGTGAAGGACTGGTCAAAGCTTTGTCTTGAGGCCATGTGATCCTGATGGAAGTCTGTGAATGACATCTGGAGAGTAGGAAAACACAAGTGTATTATATATATATATGTGTGTGTGTGTGTGTGTGTGTGTGTGTGTGTGTGTATTATAAAGAGCCACACTCAAGGCTCTGTAAGCTTTATATGAATGATGAGTAAATCCTTACATTTAAAGTCACTCATTCCAGAACAAAATACAGATTTTCCAGTAGAGATAGGCTATTGCTATTCTTTTTCTTATATCTAAGAACAAGTTGCCTCACAGGCCAGTGGACAAGTACCTGTTTGTCTTTTGGAATAGTTCACCCAACCCACTGCTTCTTATTCCCAGCTACTGAAGAGCAACTGAAACATAGGATTTACTTTATGATGGTCCCTGGAGATTGAGAACACTGTGTAAAGCCACTCTCTCATCAACAGTACTTGTGCTCTTGGGCCACAAAGGGCAGGATCAGGCTCATTGCAAATTTATAGAGCTCCATGTTTTAAAACTGACATGAGAAAGTACTAAAGA